ATTAACTATTTCTCACCTCCGGTGGCCATTACACCGTCATCATTCACCGCCATCGCATTGACTATGGTTTTCTGTTGTGAGCTGGAAATTTAAAGGTCGACGTGATCTTAGCTTCTAATTTAAGAAATAAGGATACTGAATATGATGTAAGATATATTAAAGATGTAAAGGTAAAGTTTCTATGGCATGTCATCTAACTTACAGCATGTTATGCATAAATTCTCCTTTTGGAAGGTTGAATTTTTTTATGTTGTCTGCTGATGCAGAAGCAAAACAATCCCTGCCGCAGAATAAATTTTAAGAAAAATTAGTAGTGTGCTCCAAGCAGAAGTTAGGGAATCATAAAAATAGCAGCATGTGCCATGTAAACATACTCCGTAGGATGCTGAGCCATAGCTCGAACAGATTTCTTGTGATGTGTGAGGGTTGCCATTGTTTTACCTGCCAGACAAGGCCAATTAGTAATCACACGAAGTCAGAAACCATTATAAAATAATGTTAAAATCCCAGTAAGGAAATCTGAGTTACCATATCTAAGGTCCCAGAACTTAATGGTACTGTCATGAGAGCCAGTTATAACCTGCGGATCCTGAAATGAAACTTCCCATCATGAAATCTGATTGTAATAGTAATACGTAGGCCATACAGCAAGAATAAAAAGTCATTAGCATATGATTATGACATCAACAAAATGAAACACCTTGCATAATGTTTTTAGTAGAGCCAGCTCCCGGGAGTAATTTGCTTCTTAAAATAACAGAATTTCCAGCAAAAGCACCCTAATTGTGCTAATTATACAGAAATCACTTCTAAAAAGAATACATACGTGGAAGCATTAATAGTTGCTAAGATTTAACTGTCTCATGAAGATACATCTGTTTTATTGGGCAGTCCATAACATGTTTCAACTATGTGAATCCTCCTTATCAAGAAACATCCAGCCATCCCATCTTAAACCAGAAAGTATTCATAGAAGGCCATTCAAATCTTGCGCTCATAGAGATTTTAGCATAAAATAAATAGCATAAAATCACACTATATCTTTATATGAAACATTTCGCAGATTCCATCTGATTACTAGCTAGACCACCACCATCTGGTTTTCAAACCAAACATTTTGGTTCAGAAAACCATTTTGTTACTTTTTAAATAACACCAAAAACAGAAGACAACCCAAGACATGTTTTCGGTTTCCACAAGAGATCAGCCCCTATGTTTGTAGCTTCTCTTCCTTTTCTTTTTTTTCTTGATAGGTATATCTTTAATTCTATATCTTCCCTTCAACATTATAAATTACAACCCCACCCCCACCACTACCCTCTTTTTTCCCCTTTCTTAGCCAGTACAGATTTAATCTTTCTATTTTTTCTTCAATAAAAAGTTAATCTGAAATAGATTTGGTAGCATCAAAGGTGTGAAGTTGGTTTTTAATGTATTAGGTTCACCCATTTGAGAATCTCGAAAAGAATTAGATCAGCTAGTCTGGATGAGCACCCGTGAAGTCGAGGGGGCGGGAATAGAAATATGTGCAAGTACGAATGTCTATTTGGGAATTAAGCCTAGTCTAATATATTTAAATTCTTGAAAGTTGGAAAGTTGTACAGAAATAAAATGGTGTCAAACATTTTTGAATGTTCTAAAATAGGAAGACTGACACAAAAATTGAAACGGATAGAGCACCAAAAATAATAGTACATATTATGTGAAGTATAAAGCATCACATATTGAAGGAAACCAACATTTCTAGGATCAAACCAAATCTAAATTAAGTTTGCTCCGAACAGACAGTAATCTGGATGTAGACTACAATTAGCTTTTAATAAACAAAAGAATTTGCTAATAATCTCACAGTGAAGAAAACTCTTAATTTCAGACGAAGATAAAGTTCTGGTAAATAGGAAAATTACAAAGAGTCTATGGAAATTGAAAAAGTAGAAGATAGTTCGGGTTTTGAAATAGGTAGAGGAAGTCATAACAGGCAACTACTATTTCATGGTATAAGGTTTTATTATGTTCATTTGCACTGCTCCAGGTGCAGTATACCCTAAAAGAGCCAGAATCAGGCTCTTCTTTGAGTATGATTGGGTCCTGCAGTGGTAGAGCCTGGAGTACTATTTTCCAACGTTGTATGGCGTTTGCTCTTCCCGTGAATTTTGCTGCTTTCTTTAGTTATTTGTATTCTCTCGGTCTAGTCAGTTAACTGATCCACTTGTTAGTGCGTTAGTAGAGTAGTATTCTGCTAGTCCTGTTTTTTTCTCCACAGTTACTCTGGTAGTCCAACATTTTCCTCTTTGATCAGTTACTCTGGTAGTCCAATCTAGATTAAGGCTCCAGAAATATAGGATTTCAGCTATTACCAAACTAGGATTTTAAATCAGGATCAAATTTGCTCCAGCATCTAGAATTTTGAAGCTGCCATCGTGACTTAATTTCGACACTATTCTAACTCTAAAGTCATGGGCTGTCGTATTGTCTCCTGTCTCATGCTTAAGAAAATAAGACAGAGATTTAATATTAAACCCAATTATAAAAGAATGCTTACCATTGGCCTGGTAAAAACAGAACAAACAGTGTTATCATGTCCAGACAGAGCATGAATTTGCATTTTGCTACGAATATCCCAAACCTGAAATCATGATAGAATTAAGATAAAAGTCAGAACTGCACCAATGTCATATTTGGAAAGAACAGAAGTAGTAACTACTAAAAGCTTCAGTACTAGGATCAGCTATCACCCAAGATAAAGAGCTTCAGTAATGATACCCGACAGACAGAATCACGACCCCCAGTGAACAAGATGTCAATGGTTGGATGAAGAGCTAAGCAATAAACACCACTGAGGTGGCCATGATAGGAGCGGATCACCTGAAAATATATATATAAGCAAATATGTAACCAAAAACCATTAACCATGAGTTATGAATGGCTATCAGCACTGTTAACTACCTTATTTTGTTCCAGGTCCCAGCATTTTACTTGCTTATCATCACCAGCTGAGAACATGTATGTGTGTTTGTTGCTAACAGCAAGGCCTGCAAGGAGACTCCAATTGTCACCAGTCTATATCTTAGGTTAGCACTCAATGTCCTCATACACATTATAATATTTGATCGAATTTCAGAACAAACAAAAGTCTAGAGAACAAACCCCGAACTTGCTCAATGTGCCCTGTTAAAGTGAGCTTCAATCTTCCACTTGCTAAATCCCATATCTTGTATCATGGCAGAAAAAGAAGATATACTTAGTTCCTGATGAAAACCAATTAGAAAGGCCTAATATATGCGTAGCCATCAGTATATGAAAATGAAAAGTTGAAAACCAGTAACAAATTCCCACCGCTCTAACAAAGACACAGGTAAAGAGGTGTCCTCACCAATTGGCATTTCATTCCACATGCACACATTTGATAACTTAGGATTGAGTGATGTAACTTTGTCTAGCAACTCTAGAGTTTATATCAAGTTACACAAAATATTTCCAAGTAAACTTCAAGATTTTCAGGACTCATGTTCAGAAGTGATACTTATAGGTAGATATATTATTATCACAACTAAATCATCCTCATTGCTGGCCATGCATACTATTTTTTTTATTCCAAGCGACAAAATCAAGGTCACATTCAAATAAAAACTGCATAAAAGTGCATCAAGTTTCGCCTGAACTTGGAAAAAACAACCAGTTCGGTTATCATGCTCTCAGAAACGTATTTTGGTACCAGCACTACAATTTCAATTTCTTTCTTTATCGTTGCTATTTCAATTTTTCAGTCCAAGGTGAAAAGTATGTATCTCGGTAATTCTTTCAGCATAACTAGCTTATTCAATATAATACTGGCTGTTGAGGAATGATGCAACACGTATCTGACAGTTTGGAGCTAGTAGAACTGGTCTAGGGTGCACAAGCTGAAACAGAGAGGTTACATTCCAGAGCCTTTACACCTTAAATCTGATATTACAGCAGCTTTTAAATTAAAAATTATGGTACACATGATAAATGTTTCAACTCTACTGACCCCAAAAAAATAAAGAGAAATGTCTCATCTCGGAAAAACCGTGATTCTTGACCACTTCCATCTCCCAAAGAAAGTCATTTCCAAAAGCCACACTAACAGGTTTATTCCCTTGTGGGTTATTGGAATTGTCAGGATTTCAAACTCAATTATTTTACCTTGATAGTGCGATCTGCCGATCCAGTACAGAACCATGTGTTACTAGGATCCACCGCGACTGATCGCACCCATCCCAAATGGCCACTGATAACCTATACAATTAAGAAACATGCATTAGAGCTTAGATCTATAATATACCATGCCGCATTGACGATTGAACAGCATAAATAGTGCAGGTGTAAAGTATAAAACGATAAAAATGGATTATTTTCAGTCTTCTGAATGAACTAGACCCATTAATAGAGGAGTTATCCTTTATGGGACTAGTACATAACAAGACTTCTTGCTATTCAAAATAACAAATCTTTATAATTGTTATGAGGCCACTATCTTACTGTTTTGATCAGACTGCAGAATATAGGAATTTGGAAGTCAAATCTTCTTAGAGGTCAATTTTTCATAACTTTATAATTTAATCAGGTAAAATGGCTCTACTGTTTTAAACATTCAAAATTTAGCTGCAAAGTAAAATTTGAACTTCTTAAATGCGATGACTTTTTGGTAATCTAAAAGCAGGCCATACGTGTGATATCTGATGGAGGCAAAATTTAAGATATTAAGTGTAGCTTCACCCCCTCCACTAGATCATTGATATAGTTACAACCACATTTAAGGACTAAACAATAACTAAATGACAATAGTAAGAAGGTAAAATTGATTCAGGCAATCTGCTCTTCTCAAGCGTGAAGGTTATTAAGCTGGAGTAAGGTGCTAAAGAATACTCTGAACCAGTACATGAAAACTTGGAAAGATAAGAAATATATTAGAACACAAAACAGAGAAACACAGCCAGGCTTTAACCAGTGTACATAACGCCCAGCCACTACAACAACAGAATTATCTTACCCTGTAGTTTTTCCAGGGAGCATGCCATACTGGGCGAGGCCATTTGCTTGGTATTCTTTCCATGATTGCGGCAGTTGACAGATTTCTGAAGGGAATAAAAATAAAGAATTCATTGCATAGGTACAAGATATGATTCCTGGCTTAAAGAAGATTTTTTTTTTTTTTTTGTCAGTGTTGACTTGGTTGATTGATCAGAGTCGCAATTTTGTTAAGAAGAAAAAACACATACAGAAACGCACCCAAGGGTGTGGCCTATTGGTCAATTAGTAGGGTGCAAACCTTGGAAGCCAGAGTCAAATCCCAAGAGAAACAAAAAAAACTAGTAGATGATTTCTTCATATTTGCCCAAGACTTGGTGGGCAGAGTTATTAAGTACTTGTGCTTTTGGGAGGTAGCATGTACCCGGTGGAATTGTCGAGGTACACCTGAGTTGTCCTGGACACCACCGTTATTCAAAACACACACATAACAGACATCATTATGGATCTGTTAAAACGGAAACTTCCAAATACCAACTCAAGGATCCAAATTCTTGCACTAAAGATGAAATCTTGACATGGTAAATGCCAAGACTAGGTATCAACATGAGTTTTGGGCAGAAATTTTTATGTCAAGGTACTGCATTAGTCATACATATACGAGTAATACATATTTATATACTCTGAGTTACACGTTATGTTCTTCGTGTCATTTGATTAAACTCTCACTAGAAGGAAATACAACAAAAAAGGGCCATCATAACAATGTTGAATTATCTGTTAAGAAACATGAAAGCTGAAATACAGATTTGACATAGCCCTCCATCTAGTTTTGTACAGTACCCTTCCTCTAGTATTTGGCAAAAACACATTATTCTGGTATAACCATATATTCATACATAATAATTTCTGAAATCACACCCACCTTATAGGGAGGGAAAATGGCAATCCTGAAATACTATAAACACAACACCAGACAGTTACGGGATGCCAATTTAAGTGTCTATAATGAGATCTCATAATATGAGCACTGACAATCAATGATATCCAGACATCACATGGAACCAACCCCTCAAGCTTAAGGACAAACATTATCAAACTGCTTAAAACTTTGAAGTCTTTGTTTGGGAGGGTCCATGCTTACAACTTGAAGCCTTGTAAATACCCATGCCAAAACTTTATTCACTACACAGAAAATTGGGTCTAAAATGCACCATATTTGAATGAGTTGGTAAAGAGTGCTACTTCATTGAACGAGAAAAGGACAACAGAGCAAAATAATAACTAAACTCATATCATGATTACTACAATCACTCTCATCTCGATACTCTTATTTTAGCATGGGAAACATCAAACAACTAGTTGAGTGGTTTCTAAAAACTTTCCAACCGCCAGTTACAAAGCCCCAATAAGATCTCAAAAGGGCTATCATAACCAGACCGAGTTTATTCCCCAAATTTGTAAACACCCCTAGTCCTATGTATGAAGACGAGGTGAAAAAGGTGTTAGTAGATAAAGATACTCCACCAGATTTAAAAAAATTCTTGATAAAATTTAAAAAATATTACCAACATCTCATCTAATATAATGAAATATAATAGGAAAGAAAGGCATGCATAATAACCTTTCTGACGAACCATGAGAAGGAACAACAGCATTGCTTTTCCCTGGGAACCTGACATCAGCGCTGCAAAATAATTTTACAACACTATAAGTATAAATTTGAGTATCGAGCCCTACCAACGTCCTATCCTCCAAATAAATAAATAAACCAAGGTTTATGTGGGTGTCCGTGTGGGTTGCATGCGGGTGTCTAAAGAAGGAACATAAAGTACTTACGGGCCCTTCGCTGGTATGGATGGACCAAGAGCCAATTCATTTCCGGTTCCCTCGTCCCTTGTATTTTCAGGACCTGACAAGAAAAGCCAAATGTATCACAAATGAGAGAAAGAATATTAACAGGACAAATGAGAAATATAATTCAAGACGGCAGGTTCCAAATTCCAGCAATATTTGTCTTTTAGAAAACTTATTGCAATTTCTCAAAATATGTTTCTCCTTCTCTTTAACTCATTCCAAATGCATACTTTTTAGAGTTCTAGTAATCTTCCTTTTCTCAAACAGATTCATAATAGTAACGAGTGCAATGCTCCATGTGCATTCATGAAAAAATTTCACAATAAGATACAGCTGACAAGGTTCTGCACATATAAGCTATAATTATGCATTTCCTTTTGTACTCCTTTTATCAATATGATTTTCGTTTGTCTTCTACTCAACGATATCATCTTTCCATTCAGAGAAGGTGCCTTACAAGGCATACGAGCAGCTTCATAACAAGAAGAATTTCATTAAACCATTCAGGAGATGGAAATGAAACACGCAAAATAGGTCGCTATAAAAAATCGTCATAAGTGGGTCACTATGAATATATAATGTATGAATTGAGGGCTTTATAGACTGAATGGCTCACATCATCTAATACACTAGTATTTTAGGTTCGGCCCTGCTATTCAATCTGTAGCAATAAAGTGTAATGTAAGGTTCTAGATTGACAAGAAGATTGAGTACCTGGAAGAGCAAGGGCATTAGAAGGAGCATTTTGAGCTTGATTCTGCACAGCCGCTTTGGCATTAGAAACCGGTTGGGCTGCTGTGCTTTTTATCCCTCCGTACTCAACATTTAGCTGTTACATGTAAAATCCACATCAATTTTGATGAATAGCACCAACTTCCCCACAACATGTAAAGCATATGCACTAAAATCTAGTACTACTAAACTTGATCCTATTTTTATCTTATTAGCAGGAATGTTATAACCTATTTCAAAATAATCATCATTACTGACCTTATAGCTCGTTCGAATTTTCTTGCTGCACAAAAGATTTTTAAAAGGTAAACAATTAGATAACGCAATCATATTCGAGAAAACAAAAATTAGGGCAATAAAACAAAATTCCCTTTTTGTTATTTCAATTGGATTGGGGTTTAATTAAACGGTACCGTACCTTTCAGGATCAGGAGGGGGAAAATGACCATGGAGAGGGGAAAAGAGGTCAAGAGACCGTTTAAGGGATTTGAAGCTGAGCTTCTTGATGGATTGTGGTTCCACTGCAACTTCTGATTCCATTGTTGTGGGCCCCGGCATTCTTTACAGGGAGAGTAAGCGAGTTATTACTTCTTCTTGCCGACGCCGGACGAGTACTGTGCCGCCGGGAGAAGGTGGCCGGGATATAGGGCGCTCTTTCCTTCGGAACCAAAACCTCTGGAACTTCAGTAAATGTTTCACAGGACTAATAACTGGAGCAAAATAATACTCCTCCTTTGCATATAATAACCAACATATACTAATACCAAAATAATGTCCGCAAAAAATTACTAAAAACAGTAGTAGTGGTATAAAATAAATAATAGTAAAAAATACTGAAGAGAATTAGAGAGAGATTTATTATTCAACTTCAAAATTCATGTACATAATGAACTGAGATTTTCTCTCTATTTATAAAAGAAAGGAAGTTTTTGTATAAACTGCTACCGCAAGCTGCTGTGTAAGCTGCTTGTAAATTACTTGTAAGCTGCTTCTAAGCTGCTACTGCAAGCTGCTGTGTAAGTTTCTTGTAAGTTGCTTGTAAGCTGCTAGTGTACCAGATATAGATAATCTCCTGTCGTGGATAATATTTATCCATAATGGAGTACTGAAATGATAAGTTTCTTCAGAAAGCTTATTTACAACGGAGTACTAATGTGCCTCATTAAAACCTTACTAGGAAAAACCCCGTGGGAAAAACCCTAGTAAAGGAAAAAGAGTACACATATTTAGTAATACGCATTGCTAGGTGCCTCATTAAAAACCTTAGTAAGGAAAAAAGAGTGCATCGCATATTTTACTCCCCCTGATGAAAACCTTGTTTCAAATATTCGAGTCCCCGCATTCCAATCTTGTATAGCATCTTCTCAAAAGTTGAATTTGTAGAGAATATTATCCACCACTATTTCAGATCGATTTAAATTAATCTCATCAAACCAAGAAGCTACTACAAGTCATTTCATTGAGTTGCTTGCAACCTGCCTGCATCAGCTGCTCGTAGAAAACTTCAATGGAGTACTAAATGGATAATCTTCTTCAGGAAGATTATCTATAGCGGAGTAATAAATGGACATCCACAAAAATATTTTCAAAACATTCCTCCTTGGATGTTCATTATTATGTGCCTCGTTAAACCTTACTAGGAAAACCCCGTGGAAAAAATTCTAGTCAAGGAAAAAGAGTACACTAATAATATACATTGCAAGCTGCCTCATTAAAAACCTTACCGGGAAAAACCCAGTGGAAAAAAACCCGAGCAAGGGAAAAAGAGTACAGTGCAAAGACTTGGGTATATCTGGACCAAGGAGTTCATCATTCTCTTCTGGAAATAAGAACGGATCCTTAATCCGTGTAGGAGAAGAACTATATCTTGCTAGTAAATTAACAGAAAACACTATGTCAGGCCTTGTAGCATCAGCAAGATACATTAGTGCACCAATTGCACTGAGATAGGGTACTTCGGGACCAAGGAGTTCCTCATCCTCTTCTGGAGGTCGGAACAAATCCTTATCCACTTCAAGTGATCGAACAACCACTGGTGTACTCAATGGGTGCGCTTAGTCCATGTAAAACGTTTTAAGACCTTTGCTGTATAGGCAGATTGATGGATAAAGATCTTGTCTGCTCAATGTTCAATTTGCAGACCAAGACGAAGTTTTGTCTTCCCAAGATCTTTCATCTCAAATTCTTTCTTAAGACATTCAATTGCCTTTTGGAGCTCTTCTGGAGTTCCAACAAGATTTATGTCATCAACATAAACAGCAAGTATAACAGATTGTGAACCCATTTTCTTTACAAAAATATATGGACAAATAACATCATTTATGTATCTTTCTTTTAGCAAATATTCACTGAGGCGATAATACCACATACGCCCAGATTGCTTTAAACCGTACAAAGATCTTTATAATTTGATCGAGTACATTTTCTGAGACTTTGAATTATATGTTTCAAGCATTTTAAATCCTTCAGGGATCTTCATATAGACTTAATCAAATGAGTCATATAGGTTATGATTCGCATTTAAATGGCACGACATCTTCAGATGTCTGGACTACTGGTCCGATCCTCACAATATTTCATAGTATTGTGCACTATATTGTATCAAATATATTGTCGACGATCATTTTGTAGCGGTTCGCAAGCGACATAACTTGTTGAGATCTCATCACTTTCTTTATTTTTAGGTACTTGAACTTATTCTGGAGTTTCATGAAATGTTATGTCGTGGGCTCTTCTAGAGCTCATTTCCTCCTCATTATGATCATTTTGATCATTAGTTCCTTATAATTTTTCAAGGATTGTTACCTTTGGAACCGATTGGTCTACCACGCTTCATGCGAACAGTAAACTCTATCCTTCAGGGACTTTAAATTTTAATAGGAGCATTTCCAGCTGGAATATGATATTTGATTTTGGATTAGCAAATGCTTCTGGCATTTGACTTGAATTATTTTCTAAGTGAGGATCATATTAATAATATTTCGATTCATATAGCATATTTTCAACTGTTTATTCCATCCCCCAAATGTTAGAAAACTAACATATATTCCCAATCTCTTTTGGAAAACATATCTTTGTGCATTGTGGTAGAGAAATTAACCACATACCACATATCAAAAGATAGTAAAAATATTTGGTTTCTGATCCTTAACCAATTGTGAGGGGAGGACTTGTCATATATTGTTGGTCTGATGCATACAAGTGTTGTTATATGCAATTTAGAAAATTTTAGACCAATACATGAAGCTTTGTTCTCATAAGCAATGGTTTAGCCATTAATATGAGGTATTCAATGCTAAACCAGCTTGGATATAAACCAGCATCATCAAGACGAATTGTCTTGATTTCATAATCTGAAAGTTTTGCTCTTAGTTGAGAAAAGCAATTTCAAATGTCAAACTGCAGGTTGACAATAAACACACACGTAACCATCTTATATATGCATATATAAGTGGTTCACATGATAGGTGAATGGGCCCATATTCACCTTTTATATATTCCATAATTCAGAGGTCTTAATCCCAACTTTAGCCGATATAACCAATTTATTATGAGAACAAGTAACACAAGAGAATTCTTGAAGAATCTTTCTAGTTCTTCAGTATATGCTTATCTGAATTCTCAAATAGCTCATTTAAAAATGGAAAATGAAAACTTCAAGTTTATCATGTCATGTGCTATTTCTTAATAAACTTCTGGTTTACTATGGCATAAACTTTTGCATTAGTAAACTTCTGATTTACTGTGACTGCTTTTGCATTAGTAAACATCTGGTTTACTCTGATACATGATATAGTACAAAATTGAAGAATAAAGCGGGTAACTCATCACATGCATATTATTTTACCCCTTATGATTGTGAAAACATGAAGATTTTCAATCTTCCAATCATTTGTAGTCTCAATATGATAGTCATTTGTATTAGTAAACTTCAGGCTTACTACAAACATATGTTTTGACAATAATCATATAATATGAATGACATATTTGTACATAAACTCTTCGAGAGCCTTCATTTATTATCCACAATTTTACATTTATCAGACACTACTGGTGTCATGTGTCTTCTAGACAAATAGTTAACTCTTCAGGAGTTGTTGATATATTTGTACTATCAAATATTACTCAGACACTTCCGGTATCATGAGAGAAAATCATAATAAAATGAACACTATAAAGACAATTCTAAATTTATAAATGTAAGAAATTAAGAATTTCAGTATTTTTACCACCAACTTTGTGACAAATGTCTCATTCAGGGAGAAACGCCATTAACAACTGAATATTTTATATCAAAGCGATAACCACACAATCATTACATCCTTAAGGGAAAGATACATGAGTTGTTATTTCCTTCGGGGAACTCGATAACTAACCATAACATATTAATGTGGTTGTAGTACAAAGCATTCTACAATAATGCTTTTGCCTTAGAATGATATTTAATAAAATTATTCAAGATATTTTACGTACAAAGGATACATGCGACAATGATCTTTATGTTACAAAAATAAGATTTATATCCTTTGTTATTCTACTTCTTCAGGAGGTGAGTCGTGGTATTTCTTCATTCACTTCAAGGAATGAAAATGTGCTTCAAAAATAACTTTGAATATCTTATTATTTTATTTAAGCACAGAAAGATAGAGTTTCATAATATTTTCCTTCTTTAGGAGAAAATTTCATTTGTGTTACTTCTTCAGGAGTAAATTTAAAATACGAAAAATGAGTATATATTCTCTCAATAATATTACCTCTTCTGGAGGTGAATTGTAATATATTTACATCAAAAGCGCGTTCATATTTACGAGCTTTATTCATATTGTCACATTCACTTCGGGAAATGGATTAATATTTATCAAAAGTTCTCATCCTTCCGGGAACGGAACATAATTATCTGAACGCGCATTAATCAAACCAAAACGTGTGATGCTTCAGCCTCTTTTAAGATAATGCTACTTCAGGAGCAAATCGAGGTATGCAAGTAATAAAGAGAAATTTTCTCTAGCTTATCTTCAATTGTAACCATAGAAAGCCTAAATTATCACTTCTGGTGGTCATAGACATATACCACTTCTGGTGTTTAACAAAATTTCACAATGAGATATATGAAATATAACCAATTCAGGTGGTTGTATATATCTTACAAACTCTGCTGGAATTTAAGTGAATCTAATAATGTTATCCACTTTGCAACCCTTTGTTAAAATAACTAGAATGACAATAAGCACAAAATAGTTATTGTATACATATATGTAGACCACATTCGTTTGGCACATAAAAACTGGTGTATCTCGCGACTATATAACAACTTAAGTAAAATCAATTGTTCTTTTCAATTTCACGAGACCACATCCAAGTAAAACGACATCTGCATCATTAGTTGGCTAGAAAGACATTAATTAACATACACGATAAACATATATTTATTCAAGCTCGAAAGACATAAATAACATAATTTAATAGTAGTAATTATCTTAAGAATACCAGTAGGATTGCATCTCAGGTGTTCAGGAAATGGAATTTATAACAAAGACTAACCAATTACTTCACGAGAGAAGAAGTACTCCACTTCAAGAATATAATCTACTTTATGATGCTCGGAATGAACAAGATCTAACCACGGATGTAAGAGCGCCTTACATCAGAGATGAACACTGAAATAGAAATTAAATTCGAAGTAAGTGCTCAAAATGGC